GATTAGGAATTCAAAGAAAATAAAAACAGGCCCACAAAGGGGAAGGGGACAGGAGACCGGGAGGAGGGGGTGGGGAGTAATCAAAGAAATAAAAACCAGAGGCAATGGGGAAGATACTTACCGTAGACGAGAAAACAACAAGGTCCAGTGGGATCACTAACAAAGTCATTTTAAGGTAAAGTTTGTGGCTTAATGCACACGTCACGTTGTAAGAGACGGTGTCCGGAAGGGAATTTTGAGCTCTGCGCTGCTGACATGCGTTTGCAAACTACAGAAAACTGTTATGCAGGAATGTTCTCTAACGTCAAGAATAGGTCGAGTTCTATGCATTTTCGGTAGTAGATATGTATTTTACTTTGATATTGCATACAAACCAACTTGCGGATCAAACGAGAATGTAAGAGGATATGACATGCCAAAACCGTTGCGAACGTTTTGAAGCAAACATGAATATCGAAAGTAGTAAATTTCATAACGAAATGTGCACGAATCTTCAGAGTAGCTTTCTATCTTAATTCATACAGTTGATATAAGAAAAATACAAATGAAAAAAAAAGAAAGAAAAAAGAAAAAAAAATCCGTCTCTTACGAAAAAATCAGAAACGTACTATACTGTTTCATTTCATGAAATAAGAGCCCCGTTAGATGAACAGGGAATTGTTTCTAGAAAAGGTCCAGTATACACACCCCCTACGCCCTTTAATACCGGTGATATATAAATGTACGAGATATTACAGCATTACGGTTACTGGTGGTCATTTATTCTCAGAAAGTAATTCCCCCAAACGTGCTGCTATTTTTGTCATATCGAAAGGCATTTTGTAGAAGATAGAAATAGAATCAGAGCGCAGCAGATAGTGACTTTTGTATCAGCGTCATTAGCCTTTTTATTGCGATATCGACTGTTAAAGGGACGTAATCGCCATTTACATTAGGTTCTGAATGAACGTGGTCAACGGGAGATAAGCGAATTTGTTTTCATGTTATTCTTGTGTGAATGTATAAAACTCGGGGGAACACTTTGTTCCAAAATGTTCAACGTTGATTCTTTTGGTAATTTGTCTGAGATATACTGCCTTACGTATCCATTATGACAGATCAATTATGTTAACAGTGAATAAAAATGTCTACTTTTATAGTATTGATTCTGGTGATGAATCATATGTATGATGATGATGATGATGATGATGATGATGATGATGATGATGATTATGATGATCAATTTACACAACAAATCATGAGTGATCTATGCTAGTGATAAAAGGTAGGACACTAAAACAGATAAGAAAACACATATGTTACTAGTTCTATGATGATGATGATGATGATGATGATGATGATTATGATGATTATGATGATCAATTTACGCAACTAATCATGAGTAATATCTGCTAATGATAAAAGGTATGACAATAAAACAGATAAGAAAACACATAATTATGTTACTAGTTCTATGATGATGATGAGTAATATCTGCTAATGATAAAAGGTAGGACAATAAAACAGATAAGAAAACACATAATTATGTTACTAGTTCTATGATGATGATGATGATGATTATGATGATGATGATGATAAAGACGATCAATTTACACAACTAATCATGAGTAATCTCTGCTAATGATAAAAGGTATGGCAATAAAACAGAGAAGAAAACACATATGTTACTAGTTCGACAACATTACCAAATAATTGATTTCGCGAATTCATATGACAAAATTTTGTCGTCTGCATTTTTTTTTTTTTTTTTTTTTTTAGATATTGTTCATTTGTTGTTCACATATATAAAAGACATATGAGTTTTGCCTTGCCAAAATATACTTGTTTCTATTACTTCGACATCTCCATTTTCTGCACAAATGTAACGAAAATTTAGAAAAGGAACGGCTGCAACTGGTTGTGAAACAATGGTCACAGTGACGGCAATAATTCACCGATTATTATATGCCATGTCTTGTTAGACAGCTAATACCCCGTCTGCGTTAAGAATATATGCGATTTATTGCAATCGAGCGTAAATGACTGTCACAAAGTGTATCTTATAAATGTTCGCGTTTTCGTATGTATTTCAACGTAAATTTAGATGCAAGGAACGGCTGCTAATGGATCGGAAACAATGATCACTGTGTCAGAAATGGTCAGCTGAAAATAATATGTTGTGTCTTGCATAACAGCTAAGATCTCCTGCTTTAAAAAGGACTGCAATTCATTGCAATCGGGCACAAATCATTGTCACAAAAAGTGAGCTTTTTCGTGTGTATTTGAATATCTGTTTCGGCAAAAAAGCCAGTAATAGCCAAATATTAAATATAGCATTGAAATGTAAGTCCAGTGGGATCACTAACAAAGTCATTTTAACGTAAAGTTTGTGGCTTAATGCACACGTCACGTTGTAAGAGACGGTGTCCGGAAGGGAATTTTGAGCTCTGCGCTGCTGACATGCGTTTGCAAACTACAGAAAACTGTTATGCAGGAATGTTCTCTAACGTCAAGAATAGGTCGAGTTCTATGCATTTTCGGTAGTAGATATGTATTTTACTTTGATATTGCATACAAACCAACTTGCGGATCAAACGAGAATGTAAGAGGATATGACATGCCAAAACCGTTGCGAACGTTTTGAAGCAAACATGAATATCGAAAGTAGTAAATTTCATAACGAAATGTGCACGAATCTTCAGAGTAGCTTTCTATCTTAATTCATACAGTTGATATAAGAAAAATACAAATGAAAAAAAAAAAAGAAAAAAGAAAAAAAAATCCGTCTCTTACGAAAAAATCAGAAACGTACTATACTGTTTCATTTCATGAAATAAGAGCCCCGTTAGATGAACAGGGAATTGTTTCTAGAAAAGGTCCAGTATACACACCCCCTACGCCCTTTAATACCGGTGATATATAAATGTACGAGATATTACAGCATTACGGTTACTGGTGGTCATTTATTCTCAGAAAGTAATTCCCCCAAACGTGCTGCTATTTTTGTCATATCGAAAGGCATTTTGTAGAAGATAGAAATAGAATCAGAGCGCAGCAGATAGTGACTTTTGTATCAGCGTCATTAGCCTTTTTATTGCGATATCGACTGTTAAAGGGACGTAATCGCCATTTACATTAGGTTCTGAATGAACGTGGTCAACGGGAGATAAGCGGATTTGTTTTCATGTTATTCTTGTGTGAATGTATAGAACTCGGAGAACACTTTGTTCCAAAATGTTCAACGTTGATTCTTTTGGTGATTTGTCTGAGATATACTGCCTTACGTATCCATTATGACAGATCAATTATGTTAGCAGTGAATAATAATGTCTACTTTTATAGTATTGATTCTGGTGATGAATCATATGTATGATGATGATGATGATGATGATGATGATGATGATGATGTTGTTGATGATGATGATGATGATGATGATGATGATGATGATGATGATTATGATGATCAATGTACACAACAAATCATGAGTGATCTCTGCTAGTGATAAAAGTTATGTGATAAAAGTTATGTCAATAAAACAGATAAGAAAACACATATGTTACTAGTTCTATGATGATGATGATGATCATGATGAAGATACTGATGATTATCAATTTACGCAACTAATCATGAGTAATAACTGCTAATGATAAAAGGTATGACAATAAAACAGATAAGAAAACACATAATTATGTTACTAGTTCTATGATGATGATGATGATGATGATTATGATGATGATGATGATGATGATGATGATAAAGACGATCAATTTACACAACTAATCATGAGTAATCTCTGCTAATGATAAAAGGTATGGCAATAAAACAGAGAAGAAAACACATATGTTACTAGTTCGACAACATTACCAAATAATTAATTTCGCGAATTCATATGACAAAATTTTGTCGTCTGCATTTTTTTTTTTTTTTTTTTTCGATATTGTTCATTTGTTGTTCGCATATATAAAAGACATATGAGTTTTGCCTTGCCAAAATATACTTGTTTCCATTACTTCGACATCTCCATTTTCTGCACAAATGTAACGAAAATTTAGAAAAGGAACGGCTGCAACTGGTTGTGAAACAATGGTCACAGTGACGGCAATAATTCACCGATTATTATATGCCATGTCTTGTTAGACAGCTAATACCCCGTCTGCGTTAAGAATATATGCGATTTATTGCAATCGAGCGTAAATGACTGTCACAAAGTGTATCTTATAAATGTTCGCGTTTTCGTATGTATTTCAACGTAAATTTAGATGCAAGGAACGGCTGCTAATGGATCGGAAACAATGATCACTGTGTCAGAAATGGTCCGCCGAAAATAATATGTTGTGTCTTGCATAACAGCTAAGATCTCCTGCTTTAAAAAGGACTGCAAGTCATTGCAATCGGGCACAAATCATTGTCACAAAAAGTGAGCTTTTTCGTGTGTATTTCAATATCTGTTTCGGCAAAAAAGCCAGTAATAGCCAAATATTAAATATAGCATTGAAATGTAAGTCCAGTGGTATCACTAACAAAGTCATTTTAACGTAAAGTTTGTGGCTTAATGCACACGTCACGTTGTAAGAGACGGTGTCCGGAAGGGAATTTTGAGCTCTGCGCTGCTGACATGCGTTTGCAAACTACAGAAAACTGTTATGCAGGAATGTTCTCTAACTTCAAGAATAGGTCGAGTTCTAAGCATTTTCGGTAGAGGATATGTATTTTACTTTGATATTGCATACAAACCAACTTGAGGATCAAACGAGAATGTAAGAGGATATGACATGCCAAAACCGTTGCGAACGTTTTGAAGCAAACATGAATATCGAAAGTAGTAAATTTCATAACAAATGTGCACGAATCTTCAGAGTAGCTTTCTATCTTAATTCATACAGTTGATATAAGAAAAATACAAATGAAAACAAAAAAAGAAAAAAGAAAAAAAAATCCGTCTCTTACGAAAAAATCAGAAACGTACTATACTGTTTCATTTCATGAAATAAGAGCCCCGTTAGATGAACTTTTTCTTTTTCATAAATTTATTCAGAATATATATACAAATAAAAATCCTACTGTAAAGCAGTAGGACCCGGTTCTAAAAGAGAAAAACTTAACAGATATATCTATATATACATATGAATTTTAACAATAAATTTTATTAATAACACACGTTAATCCCATGCATGCTTGATATCAACAATGTCGCGTAATACGTGCCATCGTGGACGTCAAGCATGGATGGGATACCTTAACAACAAAATACACATAAATACATATCACTCTCATGCATGCCCGATGTCCACAATCATTAGCTTTGCTAATTCTTGTGAACATACAAACATGCATGAGAGATCATAAACACTGAACAACAAAATATAAGAAATAGAAGTACTGAGTAAATGTTTTTTTTGTAATGTCCTGTTTCACTGTATGTCATTTTATTTTATTTTATTCATTTTACAATTATTATAGTATTTAATTTAACAAATAAAACTAGAAATTTAATCAAGAAGACGTGTGTATTTCAAAGGTACAAATAAAGAAACCGGGTTTACAATATATGTTAGTAGTAATTACGAAAGATAAAGTTTTGGTATTTTATATTTAATAAATCGTTAAATGAATTTGAATCACGTTTTATTTAAAGTGAAGAAGATACATTTGATATAATTTTAGAAGATAGAAAAGTTAAAAAGTAATAGAAATTCTTCACAATGTAACAACGCAAGACAAGAAACCCCCAGATCGCGCAACCCCGAGATCCTGGGTGGGTAAAGTCCACAATCTCGGGGTGGCGCGAAATAGGCCCAAGCCTTACGCCACCAATAAGGTGTGAGACTCAGACGGGCCTCGGCGAATGACACCCCCAGCCGACTGTCTCGAAGCCTGAGAAAAACAGCCGACCCGAGGAATCACCGCCGAACCCCGTCCGACAAAACGTGATATATATGTAAAATATAAAGTAACTAAGAAATTTGAATATGAAAATAACTTTATCTTTAAAAAGAAAGGTTAGAAGAAAAAAATCTGATCCCAAAGCCGCATAAATGAAAACACACATACCTGAAAATATACAAAGAAAAATACTTTAGATGAAACATGTATATATAATAATGAAGGAAATGATTGATATGAGGTAATGGTCCCAAACTGGGTTACATATACAATGAAAGTGAGTGATATGGGAATGATAATATATAGAGATAAATGAATGAAATAATGATCCCTAGACTGGGTTACATTGTATAATGATTTATGAAATAAATAAATATATACACGATATCTCTAAATGTTTGTATACGAAACAGGTATGTGCTATGATGAAAACAAAGCTATATTTTAAAATAAACGTAGCGAAAATGGAATGTTTCGGGAAAACCATATGAGACAGACCAAGCAAAAATGTGCAAACTGGGCTCAATCTGTCCCACACAGCTCCCCACAAACAAAATAAAAGAAAAGAAAATACTTTATGTAGATACAATATACAGATATATACAAAGTTCGCTCCCCTTTCCAGGATGACACCACCATCTCGAAGGAGTAAATAAACACCAAAGAGACAAACTGCCATCATCCTGAAAAGAGAAGAAAACAAAAACAGCAGACAGAGTATACACAAAAAATAATCGAAATAGGAACTATAATGAACTTGATTGATGAGAAAAAATATATAAACTGCATAAGACAGACTGACTAGAGCATGCAAGCTGGGCCAATCTATCTTATGCAATTCAACAGAAAAAGATCTTATTTATCATTTGAGTTATAAGAAAAAATAAAAAGGGAAGTAACTTATGTATACAAGTAACGGACATTAGTGTACAGTTTCTCTCCCTTTCCAGGACGGTGGGATTAAAGGCACATCATGACGATAACGGCCACCATCCTGGAAAGAGAAAGATAAGAACAAACAGCAGCAAAATTATAATTTCAAATTAAGTTTCCTGATATAAAAATCAATGAAACACATTTTATTAAAGGACATATCATTTTCGTTTAAAGATGCGAAACCATGCTGAGCCCAAATATTTAAAAAGTGAAGGGAATTAAAACGTTTTTCATCTAAATATATTCTATATCTTAAAACAGACAGAAACTTTTCAATAACAGCCCTTTCAGAAACTTTTTTATTATGGTGTTTAACATTATTGCGTGTAGACCAAATTATATATCTAGAAATTGATAAAATGATTAAACATGAGTATTTGATATCATTATTGATTTTAGGTAAATCAAAAAATCTAAAAACCTTTTCACTAAATTTAATTTTATCTTCACTTAAAGTTTTTAGTAAATATATAGTTATATTATTAAGAGGTTTGAAGTAAGAACATTCGATAAATAAGTGTGAAACCGTTTCGATGTTTTTACAGAAATAGCATAATTTTCTTCTAGATATACGTTTACAATACAAATAGTAATCTACATAAACCACGTCATGTACCAGTCTAAAACAAATATTCTTATGGGCAGGATCAATTGCATTAGAAAAAATATTTGAAAAAACATTTTTGAAATTAAGTTGTGGAAATAAAGTTTTGCATTTAATCATATAGTCTGTGTCTAACAAAAAGATATAAAAAACTTTAGACGGGAAAGAATTAAACATAAAATCTGGAATCTTTTCAGTAAGATGTAATAGAGCTTTTAAACACATATTATAAAATGGGGGACAAGATTCACTATGTGGAAAATTATTTTCATGTAAAGATTCATTAAATTTTCTTAATTGTAACCCAATCCAATATTTCGCAAAGTAAAACCAAGGAGGGGAATGATTTGAAATAATATCTTGTAAATGTTTTAAAAGGAGGGAATACCATCTTAATTTTATATTAGGAATGTTTAAACCGCCGTCTTTAAAAGGTAGATATAATGTTTTTCTCGAAATAGGTTCGAAAGATGAATTCCATATAAATCTAAAAGATGCTCTTTGAAACAAAATTAAGTAGTGTTCAGGAATAATATCTGCCGTAATATAATAAATAAATTTTGAAAAAGCTAAAGAATTTAGAATAGTACTTTTACCTTTAAACGAAAAACAATTTGACGATACAAGATTTAATACTCTAGAAAATTTAAGAAAACGATCCTGCCAAAAATTTTTTCGGAAAACAAAAATTTACCCCAAAAAAAAAACCCAATAATTTTCAATTTTTAACCCAAGAAAAAAGCCAAAAAGGGATGGTCAGACCATTTTTTCCATTTTCCCAAAAATAAAACCCCTTTGATTTCCTAAAAATTAAATTTTTTACCCGAAACTTGGGAAATAAATTTAAATTTTTGAAAAAAATTTCCCTTAAATTTAAAAATTATCTGTAAGAATTTGTTTGTTTAAACTCGCAAAATAATTGGGCATTTAAAACCCGAATTTACCACCGGAAAATTATACCTTTAATTTTTTGGGTTTTTTTGAAAATTTTTAAACAAAATGGGGCTCTAAACATAAAAAAATTTTAAAAGAGGAGAAAGAGAAAAAACCTTTACGAAAAGAAGCGAAAAATGAGAAAAAAATCCCGTATAAAGGTGATTAATAAATTTTAAATAGAATTGGGTATTTTTCATTATACAAACTTTAATCCAATTAATAAAATTAATGTTAAACCCGAAAGAATGTAGCATATTAAATAAATATTCCCACGAAACCCTATCAAACGCTTTTTCCTGATCTAAATTAATAAAACATGCTTTTAAGTTTTTTTGTTCGACATAATCAAAAATATTTCTAAGTAAATGTATATTATCAAAGATAGATCTACCTTTTATAGAGCATGTCTGAGATATACCTATAATATTTGGTAAGACATTAGATAACCTATTAGTTAATATTTTAGATAAAACTTTACGGTCAATATTTAAGAGGGATATAGGACGATAATTTTTCATTAATTTTGAATTATTTTTATCTTTACAAATTAACGTAATATAAGACAACTTTTGGGAAGCAGACATTTCGCCTGATTCATAACAAATTTGAAAAACTTTTAATAAAACATCGCCAAATAAATGAAAAAACTTAATGTAAAATAAAGAAGAAAGACCGTCACTACCAGGAGATTTTGTATAATCCATTTGTTTAAGAGAATTTAAAATTTCAGATTTATTTATAGGACTACTAAGGAGTAAATTATCAGATGAATTGACTTGTGGTAAATTATTTAAAAAATGTGAGGAAAGGTCTGAATTAACAGGTTCTTCTGTATATAAATTTTTATAAAAATTACGAAAACTGTCTAAAATATCTAATGATGAACTTTTAGTTTCGTCATTATCATTAATTTCGAAAATTGTTTTATCAGAACCTTTGGACTGTTCGAAATTACAAAAATATTTAGATGGATTTTCATTGCTATCAATTAACTGTGTTTTACTTCTAATAATTTGACCTTTTGAAAATCTATTTTCTAAAAGTTTAAGTTTAGATAAAATCTCTTCTTTTTCGAGTAAATCAGTTGTGTTTTGATATTGAGATCTAAGTTTATTTATTTCTGAAAAAGTTTCTTTATTTTTACTTTTACTATAGTCTATACAAAAATCTTTAATTAATGATTTCATTTTATCCCACCACTCTAAAGTATAACATTCAGTTCTTGAAATAATTTGCCAATAAAATTCGAAATTCTCTATAAAAGTTTCATCATCTAAAATACTGTTATTTAATTTCCAATATGATTTGCCAAAAGTTATTGTTTCATTTAATTTAAGTTTAAGAAATACAAAATCATGATCAGAAAAACAACAAGGTAAAATGTCACACTTAAGTATTAAATCTTTAAAATGGCGAGGTACATAAATCCGATCTAGTCTACAACCTATTGGATTATTTTTATTATTATTGCACCACGTGACTGATCTCTTATTAGGATAAATGGAACGAAAAGAATCTATAAGTTTAAATTTACTAATAATTTGGGAAAATATTTTAGAACCAGAAGTGCCACGTTCAAGATTACCACCTATTTTATCTATGTTTGCATCGAAAATAAAATTATAATCTCCTAAAAGCAGTAAGTTATTAGAAGTGACAAAATTTGGAAAAATAGATTCGAAAAATTCATTACGTTCTGTATCTGAAACAGGTGCATAAATATTACATATACGAAATTTATTATCATTTAGTTGACAGTCAGCATAGATAAATCTGCCGTCAAAATCTGCTTGATAACTACAAAGTTTCATATCGGCATTCATAAAAATAATTGCAACACCACATCTGTTGCTTTGACCAAAACTCCATAGAATTCTATTCTCTAAGTTTAACCTCTTTTCAATAGATTTAGATAAATTAAAATTATCAACATGGGTTTCTTGTAAACAAAGAACGTCAATATTACTAGAAGAAAGAAACATTTTAAGATCATTTATTTTATCATTGGATCTTAATCCATTTATGTTTAAAGTATATAAGTTTAAATCAGTCATTGTGTATTATAGTATTTTTAAAATATATATGAAAACTATATTTAGAAAAATAAAACAAGGGAAATAAATGTTGAATGATTTCGTAGTAAGAGGAGAGAGTTACGGTCAGGGGAAAAAACTGTGTAGGGAAGAGCCAAAGGTCAAGGTTAGCGTATATCTCAGTAAAAATACGAAAATTCAATATGTATTCAAGTAAAACGGCAGTAATTATTGTATCTATACATTTATGCAGTCGATATTGGAAAAACAAGAAAATAGATTTATCGGATAGGTAAACGCGAAAACTGTGAAGAGACTTTGTATAAAATTTATCGGGTTTTGCATGACTGAACATACAGCAAGAAAAATGGCATGAAAACAATTTGGTTAAAATAACAATTAAACGGATAATTAGATGTATGATAAAGAAAGTATTTGATGTACATTTCAGGAAAGTATAATACATGTAAATTATTGCTCTGTGTTTAGATATACAAATTTGGTGAGCGAAAAAACGGTAAATAATGAAAAATGCCAAACTATAGATTGGAATGTTAGGAAAAAAGGACGTATTATAGACTAGTACATGTATATGACAAAAAATAGAATTATAGTTATGTTTTATCAAAATTATTTCTATTTTCAGATTTGAGAATGAAAAAACAATAACACGAGAAAACAGCATTATGAGAAGAAAAATAACAGGTAAGTATTGGTAAGTATACTATAATATAATATGAAACATAAAATTTAAGTCCCCTGACCAAGGTGACCATCCCAGACTCCGCCCGACTTCTCGGACTCGACCGGGGATTCATCAATCACCAAAGGTGAATCCGAATCCTCGTCGTCGAGCAACGAGAAAGGGTTAGAAACCGAAATGCCGGGGGGAGTCTTGGACGGTCTCCTGGTCTTTAGTGGGGGAAAGTTCTTGTGAAAAGAATCCTGAAGCTCACCATCAGTTGAGTCCTGGCTTCTTTTCTTCCCTCTGTTGTCCGACTGTTGCTGTTGTTGTTCGTCATTCGTCACCTCAATATCATTCATCTCATCATCTGTTCTATCATCATTCATCTCATCACCTGTACCATCATCATTCCTCGTCTCATTCTCTTTCTCGCCCTCAGTCTTGTCTTTGTTACTTTCGTCTTTTTTGGGCTCCTCTTGGTCATTCTTCGATTCTGGGACATCTGTCGGCTGGTTCCTAAAAAAGCTAGGGCACATTTTTTTAATATGGCCAACTTTTTTACATAGTAAGCATAAAGGTGGCCTGCCACCACCTGTTATGAGGCAAGCATTGCCACAGTCAAACTCAACTAAATGGG